CGAGGATATACCAGTTGGCGAGGAAATACGTTTTTGCCCCAGCAACATCAGTTCCCGCAGAGAGACTCTTTTCAAAAGCTGGGAATATTTATGTCCTAAAAAAAAGAAACCGATTGTTAGTAGATCGTTTACAGGAGATAGTTTTTCTCAGCTCAGTGGACAATGGTTCAGTTTATAAGTTTTAGACAGGACACAAGTTTTTGGTAATTATATCGATCACGGACGTGTCGCTAAATTTTTTTTTCACTATTTCTATGCTAAATTACGTCCTGAATTAAAAAATGATTGTCATTTTTTTCGGAAAAGCAACCGGAAGAGAACAAAAATTATGCGGAATAGGGTCATGTGAATACTCAAATTAACCGGTAAAGCGAACTGAACAAGAATATGCAAAAAACTTCAAGATCCGATTAATATTAACGGAGGTACGGCCGAAAAAGCGCGGCCGGAAGTTGGCCGGAAGTTCAACGGCATCCCGAGGATGCGCTATCTCACATGTTTGCTTCAGTCAGTAGGTGTTGCTGTCTGTGGGAGCGAGTTAGAGGTTATTTGGTGATGTTCGTGGTGTTATGGCAGTCAATTTAGCTTGTGTTATATGTGAGACGAACTTTTGGGAAGTTGCCGCGTTTAACAGAGATCAAATTGTTGACCTCCTAGTGGATCACAAAGTTGTAAAAGGACAGACAGAGTGCAGGCGGTGCGGTGCAATATTATCCCTTGACAGAGAAAAACTAGAGTTTCGCTGCAACCGAATTGTTTCAATTCAGAAAAAGAAGAAGAAACAGTGCAACTGGAAGAGGAGCGCAAAAGTCGGCTCTTTTTTGGATGGATCAAAGATGGGAACCGGAGTTTTGCCAACGGGTGTCAGGTAGATGGGGGGATGCCGTCGGCCACCTCTTGGTGCGGAGATTTGCCAACGGTGGGGGCGGGAGAAAGAGAGTGTGAGGGAGGGAGAGAGAGCGATTGTCAGGGTTGTCTACGCTTGGGGTTGACGACCAGGGTGATCACTGCGTTCATAGGAATGCAGTCGCATTGGGAGGAAATGTATAAGATTTTTGAGCCAGGAGCACTCATGACACATCGATTCTTCGAGTGATTATTAAAGAGCATCCATCTTTCTCATAACAGGAAAACGTACATATGTCCCCTAATGAGTTGAGTATTTATCCTTGTAAATTAATGTTTTCTTATACAGTAATTTTCAACTTTATAGTAGCATACTCAAGCATAGTAGTATACACGTGTCTTTAACCGTCTTATTTATTAGATGCACCAAAAATGTTCTTAAACTCTTCGCCTTAAATAATAAAAATAATTCAATTTATATTTGCACCATTAAGTTCACCTAAACAAATAAATTAGCTCTAAGACGTTGCTATATTTGACAAGAGCTGTGTCTAAAATCCTGTTTTCATGCTGAGATAACGCTTTTATTATTTATATAATTATTTAAGGCTTGCAGTTATATCTCGCGTTTTCCCATATATTGATAACATTTTGTGTATCAAATCAAATGAAATAAAAATATATATATGGCTTCGTTTAGTTGAGATTTATCCAATATTCGCTTACAAATCCCACTTAGAAGGTCCTCGTAGCAGAAATCCTATCCTACTAGCGAAAACTTAGAGAATTAGGCCTAAAAGAAATCACATTTAATAAGTTTGTACTGCTGAATTATTTTTATTGATAAAAGAATTATCTGTTAGTAATTAAGAATTAAATATTACTTAAAAATATGTTTGCAAATAAATATTACCGCCGTTGCGTCACAAAAACCTTCGTACTCAGCGAATTGCAAAGTTTATAATACAACTTATGTGTTATAACTTGTACTGTACCAAAATTTATTGAGATATTTTCACTATATTATTATTTGAGAAAGGGACTTCTAATTTTTGGTATTTAAACCAGAATAAGAATGGCGGATGAGTGTAGGAGGATTGTAGTGCGATCTGGAGGATGATGAATGATGAAATGTTGCTTTGATGTCTTCTGACGACGCCGATTTTGCGATCGTTGAGAGTCAAATTCAATCAATCGTTAATCATTCAAATTCAAATCTTGTAACAATATTTTCTTTCTTAAAGTACGGAAACGAATTGACGCAATGTCCAGATAAATTCGCGTACACGGTAAAAGTCACTGATGTACACTTTTTTACAGAAAATAGGCCAATTATAGGAAAACCAGGAAAACTCCATTTTCTACACTAGTAACGAAATAAACCATTCTAGAGGTCGTCCAGTGGTCGAAACTCGATCAAAAATGTGTAGGCCTACAGTTAGATTTTTTAGCTAGAAACGGTTGAGGTACGTTGGAATATCTTTGAAGATGAACCTTTTTGGCTGTAGGGAGTGTGATCATGTGTTAAATGTTCACATGTCAATTTTAAGGTTAAATCAAAACAAACCAACTGGCATGTTGTCAATTAGGGACAAAGTTGTATTACTTACGAAATAATGTTCATTTAAGATCAAATTAATTAATTTAGTATTACCTATGTCATTGTATGATTCATTAGAATAGATTCATTGTTTGTTTAGGCTCCTGTGTTTTATAAACCAAACTCAAATCTTGCTATACCTCGGCCTATCGTATAACGTTTCACTGTTTGATACCTGGTAAACTTATCAGAATCCATAAGTGAATTATTAGCAATACAATTTAGCTGTTAATTATAATTTAACTGTGTCAAAGCTCAAAACGTTAGGCTATAATTTCATTGTAAAGTATTAAAAGTATAAAGGCTTATCTCGTCATCTCGAGAGTATATAATTCTGTTGACCCCTAACTTGAAACCCTTAAAAGGTAGCCAAACGAAACGTAAATTATCCCAACAGTTTATCATGTGTATCCCAGTCACAGCAACTACATTATTCTATTAATATAATGATCGACATTAATTTTGCAAGAAGATTCAATATTTTAATATTTGCTCATGTTAAATTATTTACTTTTTAAATCAACCATCACTTAATTTGAAGACCATAATTAAATAACAATTTATTCATAAGTTGATTTGGTATTAGGAATAACGTTTTTATTTCACTGTAAATATTCTCTAATGACCAAGTGATTTTATTAAAGTAAAGTAAGTACATTTAACGATTGGCAATTGAGTATTATGTATGCCAGTTTGTTTGTTTTGATTTAACCTCAAAATTTGACACGTATGAACACATGATCGCACTAAAAAGGTTCATCTTCAAAAATATTCCACCACAGCTTAACCACTTCTAGCTAAAAAATCCAATTGCACTGAACAGACTTCTCTATTTTTCACCCCAAACTGTAAGTTTGCAAGTAGTCAAAGCAGCGCTTGGGCCAAAATTTGACCTTGAGATGATCTAGGTGTACTCTCAGCTGACCATGTGCAGTAGGTGTTTTGTGGATAAAAAGTGTTGGCCTGACCGGGTTTCGAACCCCGGTCTTTTTGTTGGTAGTTGTATGCGTTAGCTGGTTGAGCTACAGCAATGTTATGGGTATGGAGTTTTATATCGGTAAATGACATCTTACCTTGTATCTTATATATATACAGGGTGTGTTGGAGGTTTGATTTTAATATGGTTCACGGGTTCGAATCTAACCAACCACTAATGCTATTATAGTGGGAGAATCCTAACGCACAGCTGTTTATTTCAGCTGATCATGTGACTTAGTTTAGAGGTTTACGGGTTCAATCCTAACCTATCATTTAGAGGTCTATGGGTTCAAACCTAACACACAGCTGTTTATTTTAGCTGATCACGTGATTTGTTTTAGAGGTCTATGGGTTCAATTCTAACCAACCACAACTGTTTATTTCAGCTGATCATCTAGTTTAGAGGTTCATGGGTTCGAATCTAACCTATGATAGAGGTTTATGGGTTCAATCCTATCCTAGTAGGTCTGGAAAAAAAACACATTATATAGTGTATAATGCTTAAACCTTACTGTTGATCATAATGGTAAATGTTGGAGGTTATTTTATAGTGTATAATAAATATAAATCAGCTGAAAGAGGGCTTAAGTGGAATTTTACCGTTGATCATAAAAGAATGTTAAATGTGTAGTAGTATTGGAGGTTATTTTATATAGTGTATAATAAATATAAAAACAGCTGAAAGAAGGCTTAAGTTTACCACTGAGTATAAAAATGGTCTTTGTAATGGCTATTAAATATCATATGTCAAACTTACATCTAATCTATGCTAAACGAGTTACTTAGGTTGTTTTTTGTATAGTGTTGTATTGTAGTGGGTGTTTTAGAGGTTTAATCCTTACCAATCACCAATCGTTCCTGGTTGGGGTGTTTTTTTGTATAGTTAACTGTTTGTATATGAGTTCTGAAGGTTTGATTTCTTGTATATGTAACATAACCTCACTTTTTACCTATTACTACTGGAGTGCTAGTGTTGATGGTATTATTATAATAATGATTAACTTAATATAAGATTCATCATGACAGATTACTCTGAGTTGATGGTATTAGTTTATAAATTCTCTACTAGGTTGCAATACTAGTGCTACCAACTACTGTTAGCCACTTATGTGACTTTGTATATGTAACATAACCTCACTTTTTACTTAATAATTTATTACTAACAGTATGTTACTCTGAGTTGAGGTATTAGTTTATAAATTCTCTACTAGGTTGCAGCACTAGTGCTACCAACTACTGTTAGCCACTTATGTGACTTTGTATAGGTAACATAACCTCACTTTTTACTTAATAATTTATTACTAACAGTATGTTACTCTAAGTTGAGGTATTAGTTTACAAATTCTCTACTAGGTTACAGCACTAGTGTATAGCCAACTACAGGTTAGGTGCTCTTGTAACATAACCTCACTTCTGTCTTATATGCTTTCCTGCCAATTTTTCCATTGCCTCCCCCTATTAGATTATGTAATTTTAAAACTTGTTGGATATTTAGTTGAAAGAATAATGAAAACAACTGTGAAAGCTAAATATGAATTTATTTATATATACAAACTTATATTATTTCTATTTATATCATGTATATAATCCTATAACTTAATACTTAACGTTAGTAGAGGAGGAGGAGAGGGGCAGCCATCTGAAACAAATAATAAACATAATTAGTATATAATAATTATATAGTATATAATATTAAATATAATGTCGACATCCTGTGTGGTATTGCATCATCTAAAATAGCAACTATCATTTCCTGTGTACCAAATCACAACCGGATAACCACCTTTGATAACCACTTTTGCGGTATTGCATCATCTAAAACAACAGCTATCACTTCCTCTTGTGTACCACGTCACCTTTGATAACCACATTTGTGGTCATTCTTGTCCCTATATAAACCCTTATCGCAACCCTGCCATTATTGCATCACTTTGCTCCCAGTGCTTCAAGATGACGGATGTAAGTAACTCTGCTCCAGTAGATTCCAATGAATCTGTTGATAATAATGAACCTGTAAATGTTGTAGAAGATTCTGTTGAAGTAATTGTCCCTGTAAATATTCTAGATAAACATGAAAATTATGTAAAGAGATTTCGCATTCATGGAATTAATACTGTTTTTAAGTTTTCTAACCCCCCACCAGAAACTAGTGAGATTGACTGGCTAAGACAAGGGTTTGGTCAAATTGTAAATGAAATGAAAGAAGTTTGTCAGGAGGGCGACCAATTGGGATTCACTCTGCGTTCACTTAACCTAAAAAGTAAAGAGCCAGGGTTTGTTGCTTTTCGACCAGCAAATGAAGTAAACGAGGATGTCTTGTGGCAAATCTTTGGGGGAATTGTCCAAAGTAACGCTGAATCAATCAAGTCCACAGACACGTTTCAAGTTGAATGTACCCGAGTTAATCTACCTGTAGGTTCAGGGTGCCGCAAAAGACCAGGCTTGTATAATACATTTGATGAAGAATGTAAAGCTAGGAGAGGGGTTGTTGTAATTAACAATAAAGACAATTTGTGTCTTCCTCGTGCTATTGTAGTGGCTATAGCTAATATAACTAAAGATCCTGAATACAAAGCTGTGAGACAAGATGCTGGAAAAAGACAGACAATTAGGGCTCGAGAACTTGTACGTAGAGCTAGAGTTGTAATGCCTGAGGGTGGTGCAGGTATTTCTGAACTTGAAAAAATCCAACATCTGCTTAAAGACTATAAAATCACTGTGTACAACTACAACGCTAAAGGTCGGGATGTGTATTTTGAGGGAAATGTAGAGAACCCCAAGTTCAAAATTAACTTGTTGTTTCATAATGGACATTACAATGTAATTACTAGCCTGACTGCTGCTTTTGTATGTAACTATTTCTGTGATGGTTGTCATGTCCCGTATGATCATAAAGGAGCCCACAGATGTTCAAACATTTGTCCTTGTTGTCAAACCATCTCACCTCCTTGTGTAGAGGAGTATGGGGGAATCTTGTGTCCTAAATGCAATCTAACTTATAAAAACCAACGCTGTTTCATTGCGCATCAGGTTGATAGGTGTAAACATGTAAAGAAATGTCTCGATTGTGGGAAACTAGTTTTGCTTAAGGGACGATCAACCCCACATAAGTGTGGGGAAGTATTTTGTAAACCTTGTGGAGCATTTAAAGATCCTAACCATAAATGTTATATGAAACCTGATGAGGGTAAACCTAAATCTAAAGATTATGCTTTTATTTTCTTTGACTTGGAAACCCGCCAGGATGAGCCTCTGCCCTCTGACCCTGAAAGTAAAGTGCATAAAGTAAACTTGTGTGTGTCCCAGCAATTTTGTTATCAGTGTATTGAGGGGAAATTCTGTATAGCATGTAAAAATCGTACACGAGTGTTTGACTCTGACCCTATCAATCAGTTTATGAACTATGTCATGTCAGTGAGGAAACAGTTTAAAAAAATCTGTGTAATTGCACACAATGGGCAGGGATTTGACTTTCAATTTTTGTTAAAGTACTTGTTGGAAGAAACAAAATTCACACCGGAACTTGTAATGCGGGGAACTAAAATCATTCTAATGGAAATTGATAATGTGAGGTTTGTTGACTCCCTTAGCTACTTCCCTATGGCTCTGTCTGCTCTGCCTAAAGCCTTTGACCTACCTCCAGAGAAAAAGAAAGGCTACTTTCCCCACCTGTTCAATACTCTGGCAAATCAAGACTATGTAGGCCCTATGCCGGACAAAAAGTACTACTGTCCCGAATCTATGTTTGAGAAATCTTACAATGACTTTGAAAAATGGTACAGCGACCAGGTCATTAGTAACTATGAGTTCAACTTTAAAAATGAGATCCTAGCCTATTGTATTTCAGATGTTGATATCTTAGCCCAAGCCTGTCTAAAGTTTCGTTCAATTTTTCTAAAAGAGTGTAATGTTGACCCGTTTCTCGAGGCTGTTACCATTGCGAGTGCTTGTAATCTAGCTTTCCGCCGTAATTTCCTGAAACCCAATACTATCGGACTTATCCCTAAGAACGGCTATCGATTAGTAGACAATCAATCAAATATAGCGCTCCAATGGCTTTCTTGGGTCGAGGAAACCAACGGGATTAGGATTGACCACGCAGGTCGAGGTAAAGAAGTCAAAGTCAATGGAATGAAAGTAGATGGTTTTGATGGCAGGAACATCTAAGAATTTAATGGTTGTTATTTCCACGGATGTGTTAAATGTTTTCCTTACAACCGTCACGCTCCTTTAAAAGAGGATCCTTCTGATAGCCTACATCTTCGCTATGAGCGAACCAAGGCTAAAAATGCAAAGTTTACAGAACACGCACTAGTAGAGATGTGGGAATGCGAATTTCGTAAACAAAAAAAAGATCAGCAGCTTAAATATCTGGATAGTTTGCCTATCTTAAACAATCTCCCACTTGATCCAAGGCAGGCTTTTTTTGGAGGTAGGACGGGTAACGCAAAATCGTATCACAAATGTGTTGAGGGGGAAACTATACAGTATGTTGATGTTTGTTCCCTATACCCTTATGTTTGTAAGTATGGGAAGTACCCCATAGGCCACCCAACCATCTATGTAGGAGACAGGGAGTGTCGTGAAAGAGGTATGGGTGTAGAGGGTTTGTTAAAATGTAAAGTATTGCCGCCTCGTGATCTCTACCACCCTGTACTCCCTACAAAAATGAATGATAAATTGATGTTTGTGTTGTGTAGAACGTGTGGGGAAATGATGTATCAGGGAGAGTGTAATCATGACAGTGATAATAGGGCATTAGTTGGGACATGGACAATGGATGAAATCAGAAAGGCAGTAGAGAAAGGGTATATTGTATTGGATATGTATGAGTTGTGGGAGTATCAGGTAGCGACTTATGAAAATGGGGGTTTGTTCACCGATTTTATCAATAAATTTCTTAAGATGAAACAGGAAGCTTCGGGCTATCCGGAATGGTGTAAGACTGAGGAGGACAAAAATAAGTATATTGCAGAGTATTTGGGACACGAGGGAATTAAGTTGGAGAAAGAAAAGATTGTTAAGAATGGAGGTTTGAGATCTTTGGCAAAATTAATGCTAAACAGTTTTTGGGGAAAATTTGGACAGAGGGAAAATCAAACTAAGGCTACTATTGTTAGAGACTCGAAAACATTATTTCAAATGCTCTCTAGCCCCGAAATTAAAGTAAACAGAATTCAGATTGTTAATGATGAGGTTGTTGTAGTTTCATGGGAATATTTAACAGAGGTAGGTGAACCTCTTGGTAACATAAACGTTTGTATTGCGGCCTACACTACCTCGCAGGCAAGACTCAAGCTCTATGAACACCTTGAGGCCCTAGGAGCTCAAGTATTATATTATGATACTGACAGTGCTGTTTACATATATGGAAACGGTCTTTATAGGGTGTCTACAGGAGATTACCTCGGTGAAATGACTGACGAATTAGTAGAGTATGGACACGGCTCATACATTACTGAGTTTGTCTCTGGGGGGCCTAAAACTTACGCGTACCTTGTCTGGTCAACCAATCAACAAAAATTGATCCCAATATGTAAAATCAAGGGCCTCACCCTTAACTTTAAAACATCAAAAGTTGTAAATTTTGAAAAATTAAAAGAGATGGTTCTAAGTGAGGCAAAACAGTCTATAGAAATCGAAGAAAGTAGAATCAGAAGGACTAGAGACAGAGACATCGTCACCATCGCTGAGAGCAAAGTGTTTAAAATAACTGGTCCTAAAAGGAGGTATGAAGGTCAATATGATACTTTACCTTTTGGATACAGAAAAGTTCAAAGAGCTATGTAAATTGTATTGTAAATTGTAAATGTAAATAACTTTGTAAATGTAATTGTAATTTTCACTGTACATAACTCTCCTAGTAAAAAAAACAAGTCTATAGATATATACTTATGTAACCTGACTAAGGTGTGAGTGTGTGTACATTGAGTAGTTCAGATTTAGAAGAACCTGTGCTATGCCTTGTACTTGTGTGAATGTGTGTACACTGAGGGGTTCAGATTGGATAGAACCTGTGCCCCTCTTTGTATTTGTGTGAATGTTATTGGTCACTGGCGAGGCCAACTAAACCGCCCGCAAACCATGAGTGAAAGTCACTGGCGAGGCCAACTAAACCGCCCGCAAACTTTGAATGTTAACTTTGGTAGGGTTATATAACTAAATCTATAGACTTGACAAAAAAAAAGCTTTATAAATAAAGGAGAGGACGTTTTGCAACATCAACCAATATAATATTATATAATATTATAAACTGGTATATAATATTATAAACTGGATAGGTTGTATAACGTTTAACTTGGCCTCACTTAATGAGGGGATAGTCTCAAACCCTATCCAATATAAAGCTAAAAGATGTGTATATATAATTTTTATAAGGAAAAACTATACTAGATATAAATTATTTGTCAGGCGGAAAGGGTTATCTAAATAAAAACACACATCCGCTGTGATAAGTGTACTCGATAACGATGAGGATAGTACAACAGGATGTATGGTTTCTTGTAACGGACTTTGATATCTTTAGTGGCATAGGGTCAGATAAGAATTATAAAAATGGCCAATTATTATCATGTTTTATCCGGTCTATTATCTGTGGTAAAACCAATGTCGAATATGATTTTGTGTAATCTTTACAAAAAAATCTTGAGATATATAAATTATAGAGAATTTATTGGGGAATTAAAAATATAATACTATTGTATAAAATATTTATAAGCAAATCTCGGTGATTTATTTTACTAACAAAAAACCTATTTTGGGTTAGCATATAAGGTGTATTGCAGTTATACTCAAGTTATGCATTAATGAAGGACAAAAGTTAATTTGTAATTTAGTTGGAATATTACTATTTAACCTAAAAAGATATCACAATTTTGAAAATCTAATTGTTAACAATCCTACTTATTGTTTATATTATATATTTTTGTCTTTGCTGAAGCTGTTTTTATAAATACAAAGATAAATACCTTATACCTTAGTAGAGAATTTTATAATTTTTAATGTATAGATTTAACAGCTAACTTTAAATACTCATAAAATATGTATATATTTGAGGCTATATATTATTGTGTTAAACTTTAGCTTAATCTATTTAGTTGTTTAAGAGTAATATATATAATCACACAAACCTTTAAATTTATAATATAGATAAGAAATTGATTTTTTAGTAGGATATTATAATTATAGTTTCAATATAAATAAAGTAAAATGATATATATCTTGATCCCTATTATAGTCTATATTTATTATTATGTAAAAAAACATCTTTAAGGAAAGTTATTGTTAAAACTATTGTAGCTGTTTGACAATTTGTATAACAATTGTGTTTTAAAATACTTAGTTTAATTGTTAATAAGTTTTTATCATTTAAATTAGTAAAAGTTGTATAAAAATTTTGGTTTTAGCAAAATTTCTATATAGGAAATAAGCTAATATATTATAATAAGACCTAGAACCAATTTTATTTTGATAACCCTAGAGGCTACCAACATAGCTGAACCAAGAGTTTTATAAAGTAAAACAGGTTTTTAACCTAAAAATAATTTAGTAGATTAAAACATTATTGTGTGCCAAATAGTTACTTCTATGTTATTTTTATGGAGAAAATTGTAAACTGTTATAGTTTGCTTATATCATTTTATACAATTAAAGTTAAAAATACTTTTACTACTCTCTGCTGTAGCAACCCTAAGCGTTTGTTAAATTTAATGATATTTAAATTAGAGATAAATATTTTTAGTAAAAATATAAGTTAAAATTTGCTTAGTTTTAACTGGACAAATAACTTAGTCGGGGGCGGGTTAATTAGTTAAGTGTATGTTTTTATGTAAAAATATATGTGTAGGGATTTAGTGGACCCTAAAATAAAAGTGGATACCTAAAAATATTTGTGATATTTAAACTTTAGACATTATATGTGTTTTTATATGGTTATATAAAATAATGATCCTACTATAAACTTAAACCTGTGTCACCTAAGTGAAAATATATTTAATAAATTTACCAATTTTCTTCTAAATCGGCCTCGATCCCTTCATCTTCTTCTATTTCTTCTTCCTCCTCTTCTTCCTCCTCTTCCAGTTCGTGGCTGCATTCTGCCACATATTCCCTAAACTGTCCATAATGGACAGTTAGGATCTCCTCTGCTGTCATATCGCTGCATCTATAAATCATTTAAAAGAGTATTAGAATCAGCATAAAGTTAAAAACCCTTGAGAAATAAATTTTATAAATTAAGTTTAAAGATACGTACTGGCAACAAAGGGGAAGCCATTCTCCCCAGTGTTCTTCAATAGAGCAACAAAAGACGTAGCGGCGACAGCTCCAGCACACACCATTAGGCATCTTGTTAGAAAATGATGATAGTAACAGATAATATTGCTTTGGAGAGGAGGGGAAATAGTAACAGATAATACTGTCTTAGGAAGGAGGTGGAAAATGTGGTTAACTCAGATGTTCCCTCCCTCCAATCATATATATATAAGCTGTAGCTGCTATATGGATTATTGTTATGTTAGTTTTCATCATAGCTAATATGGTGTTATTATTCTTCATACTACTTGTATTGAGACTACTAATCAGCTCTGAAGCAGTTGATGAAAATCTGCCCCCAAATGGTCAAGTAAGTAGTACTATATAATTATACAACTTTAGATAAATAATTAAAAGTAGCTTTGTGTTTTTTAATATATTTATTATAAAATAATTATTTATTTTTAATTAGGAAAAGCTCTTTGTTAGTGTTTTTTTATCAATGAATATGTTTTTATAAGATAGGGCAACAATAGAAGGAGATACAAGAGATGAAAGAGAACGATCAATTTTGGAAACTGTAAGTAAACTATTATTCATCTTTATTTATATTTGTTGTATACACATTTACTATAATGTTTTATTATTTAACCTAAAAAGATATCACAAATTTAAAAACCTAACTGTAAACAATTTTACTAGTTCTCATTGTATATTTTTGTCTATGCTGAAGCTGTTTTTATAAATATAATAGACTGCACCCTATTGGTAATTTTAATGTATATCATAGAACCAACTTTTACCAACAGCTGACTTTAAATATTCATAAAATTTTGCCTATATGTTAATTAGGGCTGTGAGCTAAATTATAGTTTAATTTGATAGTTAATTCATAACTTTTGTATAAATATATATTTGTTATTACAGTGGGGTGGTGGTTTGGAGACCTTTTTGGATCAATATCCCTACAATGCTGACTTGGAACATTACTTCATTAATGTGCATGGGGATGTCCTTTCCTTTGTCACATTAGACTATGATAATCTAGACCTAATACCACCTATACCTACGGGCTTCTGGACAATTTCTGAGGTATGTAGGTCTCTATGTAGTTTAAGTACCTCTAATAGTAGTAGAAGTAGTTTGTCTAATTCTTTATTTTTAATCTATATATGTATGGTTTTTTAGGAATATGCTCAAAATAGGATTCGAGATATGTGGTCGATAAGTAACCCTCCCGAACAAACTGGAGTCCATATCATAGAGTCATCACAAGAATATCCTAATCTTGTCTGGACTTTACTTCGATTAATGGTAGGTTTTATTTAAAAATATATAATCACTAGCTGTGTAATATAAAACTTTTATAGTATTTAGTTAAAACCTTATAAAACAGTTGGTTTATGTATTTTTAGATATGCTAACTATTATATATAACTTAATTTATGTTGTTTGTTTTAAACCAATATAATAATCAATAAAAGGATTAATTATCTGTATCTACTAGTTAACCCTAATATATCCTATCACATGAGATGCACTTTAACAAAATTAAACCACCAGTGGTGACAAATAAAACATAAAAGGCCTACTTTTATTTTTACTATCGGTTTTATCTATCAATTATATACTAAATCTTGACTAAAAATGCTTATTTAAAAATATAATTTCCCACCTATATACAACACTATTTCAAAGTCTTTTTCCTAGTTATCAGAAATCAAAAAACCAAAAGATAAAAAGTTTATAATTTTATCCGATATACAGACAAAACTCTAATTTTATTTATATAATGTGTCTCTTTTAAAAAGTATTTTTTATTAATCATAATATGTTTTTTATAGAGAAATGGTGCATCTATAACTCTTAATGAAGAACGTCAACTGCTTGCAAGACCTAATGTTCGGCAAGCACCTATATCAAAAAGGATTGTCCTTAACTCACACTTAAGAGATATGTTAAGAGAGGCTGAATCTTCTGTTCTTGTTGTAAGTAGAAGCTTTATATAGATAAACTTCTACTTATCTAAGTGTTTAATTCAACTTATTAGGTTTTTAATTCTACTTATGTTTTCAGCCATTTGTTGCTATGGAGACAGATAGTTTTTTTCAAAACGATCTTGGCCATCTTCTCATTTTAGAAGCTAACCCACTTTTACCGCCTCGCTCCCCGCCACATGTATTAAGCAACTTTTATCCAATTACCTGGGTAAGCTATATAACTTGAATATATATAATTAGATTTTTACAATATATCAAGATTAAGTATTTTTGTCACCTCTCATATCTTAAACTTTACTCTAAATCAAATATATTTTACTAAACCTTTTATTTAGACAGATTTTACACAGTAATCAATTACACAAGAGCTTTAAGAATTTGTTTTTAGTTTTGATGACTATAGTGAGGTGATTAAGTTAACTCTTTAAAAGTTATTAGTATTTATAATTTAAGCAACAAACATATTTATAATCTATATAAATAATATGTTGCAAACTAGTCTTATACTCTTAGGCTCTGCTCTAGCTGTTTTAAAAGTTTCTAGATTATTGTTTATATTTTAATCAGCTATATAATTTAATTATTTGTTTTTTTAGCAAACGGCGCAACAACTAATACATGAAATACAAATACAAGGAGCAGGTCCCTCTAATTGTATAGTTATCATACATGAAAACATTGATGGATATAATTGGCAATTGATCAGAATGTATACACTTCAAGACAACCCTATTTGGGCTTGGCAAACAACAACAAGGCGTTTTACAGCTAATACAAACTGGATACACATAAATGATCACATCTATAACTATTTAGTAACTCCTATACAAAACAACTCACCAGCTAGTTCACCATCAAGCCCAAATTCAAGCATCATAGATTCACCACCTTCAAGCCCTGGATCTGTAGTTCCACCAAGTCAGAGTTCAAGAGATTCCTTCTTTCAAGATGATCGTGATATTCTAAGATCGGCTGTAAGTATATTTATAGATTAGAATTAGTTAGAGTTTGTTAAACAAGATTTTAAATTCTACTTATTTTAATAGCTTTTTTTCTATTACAAACCAATCACAAAGTTCTACATTTCAAACAAGTTCTATTTATCTCAACTATACTATATATATACTTGATCATAGTTTGTGATTTAATTTTTATTTATAAGAGAGCCTTATAATTTCAGAAAGCTACAACATATAATGTTAAGCATGATTAAACACACAGGTGTATATATTTAGACTACACAGATATTCCTAACCAACAAAATGTTTTGACAAAAAATTCTTTTAGAGTTATATAATATTACTAGTTCAAATAGGGTAATAATATTATTTTCTTCTATTTACAGAGTAGACAAAATGAACAAAGAAGAGCTATAAATAATGTAAGTTATAGTTTTCCTTATATAATACATATCTTAGATATTAAATAATCCTAGGTATGTAACAGAGTTTTATGATAAAAAATATTAAAACTTTAATTTTAGTTTAAGGTTGTAATTTTAAAAAAAGTCTAGCAACCAACAGATGAGTTGATTTCAATAATAGTTAAACTAACAGTTAGTTATTATTATTCTATTTTTAATAAGCTTTATTTTTACAGATATCTGAGAGTTCTTCACCACCACCCACTAGACGTAGGCGGCTAAATACAGAACGAGTGCTTTTACCCCGTGGAGACTCAGTAAGAAATATTTTAAAAGAAGTATTTAAAAAGTCCAAAAATATACAAGCAAAAACAATACAACAAATATTTACTAGGATTATATTATAACCATTTTATGTTTCAGATTAACAGATCAAATAACTTTGGCCTTTGGTTCGTACACACAAAAGGGATAGTTCTTCACATTTTTTCGGTAAAATACATTTTAAATATTTTTAAAACAATATTAAAATATAATTTATATTATATATGTTTATACTGTATATCATTATTTAGCTAAGATTGTGTTTCAGGAAGAAGTTATAGCTAGACTTGCTATACCCACCAACTTCCGGCAAGTAGACCAAGATTATGCTGAGAGGTGTGTAAGCGAGCTTTATACAACAGCTTTGCAGGAGCTGTTAGTTGAGGATTATTATATAACTTCAAGGATTAATGATGTTACCTGTGTTCTACGAATTCTTATGGTGAGTTATATAGAGACAAAAAGATTTTTATAGTTTAAGAGAATCTTATACCTATTTACATTTTAAACTATTTGTTTCAGAGAGATGGTGTGTTTTATGAGAGGGACCTAACAAACATCCCTTCAGCTTCAATCCCTATTTCTGGATTTCCACATGAAGAAATTACAAATATGATAATACTGGAACCTTCAAGTTTTCTACGAATGTTTTCATCAGAACATGTAGGTAGCATTACCTAAACAATTTAATATTATTTTAATAACACCCCGCCTATTACTAATACTAATTTTATTTTCAACAGCTCTCACCAACAATAGTTTCTGTTGTTAGACCCTCATTAGTAGTACCTCCTATTACACCTCATTCAATACCTTTAACTTCAGCTGTAGCCCAGGCATCCTCAACCGATGGAATTTGGCTATCTGTAGATAGGTCGTCGTCTAATACACGAGCTAATGTTGCAATGCGGCGAGCAATGACTGCTGAATTAGCTGGACCATCCCAACCTTCCAGACGAGTACAACCTGTAGTAAGTATTTTAACATTACAAGACATATAAGTGTAATACTAATAGCCTGTAAGAACAAACTCAAAATCAATTTAATTAACTCGACATTTTTTTATTTTACTGATGTAGTTAGATAATTACCAAAGAAGTTAGATAATTATCAACCACCTTCAAGTCAAACCTACTATATTTAGTAGCTTTTAATGATAAAGTTAAGCCCTCTTTTAGCTGTTTTTAACATCAGATAGATAAATTATCGTTTGTTCCACATTTATTATAAACATCCAATACTACTACATATTTAATATTCTTTTATGCTCAACAGTAAGGTTCTGTTTAATAAAACATACATGTAGAAACAAGTACAAATTATTATAGTATTTTAACAAAATCAATTTAATTAACTCGACATTTTTTTTTTACTGATGTAATCAAGTAATTACTACCTAGGCTATTACTAATACTTATTTTGTTTTCAATAGCCATCTTCCGATATAGGTAATATCGTTAGACCTACAATACCTTCAACTTCAGCTATATCCCAGACACCTTCAACAGTGAATACCCTAGCTGGTGTTGCTAGACAGCAGACAGCAACAGCTGATGAATTAGCTGGACCATCCCAACCTTCCAGACGAGTACAACCTGTAGTAAGTATTTTAACATTACAAGACATATAAGTGTAATACTAATAGCCTGTAAGAACAAACTCAAAATCAAATCATTCAACTCAACATACTTTTTATTTTACTAATGTGGTTAGATAATTACCAAAGAAGTTAAATAATTATCAACCACCTTCAAGTCAAAGCTACTATATTTAGTAGCTTTTAATGATAAAGTTAAGCCCTCTTTTAGCTGTTTTTAACATCAGATAGATAAATTATCGTTTGCTCCACATTTATTATAAACATCCAATACTACTACATATTTAATATTCTTTTATGCTCAACAGTAAGGTTCTGTTTAATAAAACATACATGTAGAAACAAGTACAAATTATTATAGTATTTTAACAAAATCAATTTAATTAACTCGACATTTTTTTTATTTTTACTGATGTAATCAAGTAATTACTACCTAAGCTATTACTAATACTTATTTTGTTTTCAATAGCCATCTTCCGATATAACTAATATCGTTAGACCTACAATAGTCCAGTAAAATTAGACATTTTGGTATGCAAAAGGTCGGGTAGTTCTGATTTTTGGATATGTTGTTAGTATTGGGACCATAACATAAAATCCAAGTTATCCACCTCGAGATACTGCCGCTCGCCGCGGGGCGCGCCACTTGTTTTCGAAATATTTAAAATATGGCAATTCTTATTGTTTTTCACTTAATCTCTCGAACCGTTGATTTTACCGAAACTTTTATATTATTACATTAAAGAAGAATAAATTTGTGACAGTTTAAGCCCAACAGAAAGTATGTAGCGTAAATAATGGTCAAAATACAGACCATCAAAATAAATAAATTTTCCAAAGACGTATAAAAAATGTAGTTTTTTCAATATTTCCAGAATATAGTTGTTTGAAGCAAACACCGTATTGATTTAGAGAGTATGCCAGTTTATTTGCTATTAATAGAAAATAAATGAAAGTATGAATAAAAATACCCCCACCTCAGCAAACCTGCAGACTAAGCGAATTTCCATTTGCTTGATTTGATCTTCACAAACCTATTTAAATAACATTAGGTTTAACTGGTACCTAGGTTTGCTGCTACAGGGAGGGTAATATAGTATATAAAATAATAATAGTATGATAAGAAACAAATAAATTTACCCAATTTTATAAAAATGTGTCTATAAATAAGGAAAAAACAATAATTAAATCTTCGCTATTGGAATAACTTGAGGTTTTTTAATTTACAATTTTTTAATTTTCTCGATAACCTATAACTGTAAAAAAAACATTTTAATGTACTAAATGATTTGTTTTTAAGCTCTACAAAATGGTTTAGAGATACATTGTAAAATTGTATGTTTTGAGGGTCTAAAATACGAAAACCCCGTTCTTAACAAAAAACCCTATAAAGCAACCGTTCCCATGGCCTGATAATACTTCGCGAACTCGTTTTAATAAATGTAGGTTTACATGCTGAAAAACTGACCTTCAAAATATACCTTCAACGGCAAAACTACTCTTCCCAAAGCTGTCAAATGTTTATACATAAACGTTTAAGCTAAGCTTTGGGTACAATACTTTCACATAAAAACAAAATAAAACAGTTTAACATAGTTAACAGTTTATTAAGGCTGAAAGATCAGGCGAATAAGATCTTCCAATTACAATCACTCTACAGATCTTCCATGCAGCGGGTAATCTTTCCACGCCAAGTGCGCCCATCTATACAGGACATGCTGAATATGAATTGAAATACAAGATTGATATTGAAGAACACACAAAATTCACAAAGATCGGAAATTTTACTACAAGACGTGCAGACAAGTTCTGGTGTGGAATTTGATCTGATTAGCCTATCGAACAGGCCCTCATAAAGACAATGAAGGATTGACTCGAGGACGAGGGATAACAGACAAAATGTTGTAACTTGATGGGCGCTTGGGATGAGCCGTCCTCATCAAATCTGTAGGAGTTGAGAAATATTATAAAACATGACGTCAGTTGAACATTAACAGTGAGCAACATGTTGACGTGCACCATTCTCGCATTTCTCGAGACAACGAAATTGATGAAAAGATTAAATAGTGGTTTCCTCAACACACACCATTCAATAAAAATGATATGCTGATTATTAGCGAATTTCCCTTATAGGGAATACGCTATTACATTGTAAGACCTAGACCCGGGTCCGATTTACTTTTTCATTTTGGTATTCCTAGAGGCCAAAAATACTGTTGGTTCAAATTGTTATAACATATATAAATATATATATGTATATAGGCCTATACCGGGTGTCCGAAAAAGACTATAGTTTTAAACATACCTCACGATACTATTGTTTAAATGGATGAGTAATAATCATTTCGTGCTGTGTAGAGTATACTTTAAATTTTTAGTTTCGTACGTTGGCAATAAGTAGCGTACACCTATTTTACCTTGAACATAGTTTTGGTAATAAATTATAATACAAATAATAAAATATTAATGATAAAAATGAGTAAAAATAGCTTGCATGTCTGCAGAGCTAAAAATGGGTCGCATAATGAGGTGTGATAGTCTTAAAATAACTTTTATTTTATTATCTTTCATTTAATGTATCAGCATAGCCTTCTCTATGGTATCAGTCGTTGAACAGTAGTTTGTATCTAGTACAATAAATAAATAAATGTTCAAACTAGGTGAGTTTTTAGGAGACCCTGTATAAAAAAAAAACTAAAGATTTTCATAAACTGTATCCAAAAAAGTTATTATCGTTCGTTAGCACGATGATTCCCAAAAATCATCCGATTTAGTGAAATTAGGTACAAACATTACTTTTATTAGTGAATCAAGA